AAAATAGTCCAAATTAGAGGGATAAACACTGCCAGGTCTTTCTCTTTATATGAATTTAAAGCTACAATAACTTATCAAGTGCAATTAAGCTGTGGAAAATGGTACCTTTCTAATCAGAGCCTGCTGTATATGAGCATCTCTCCTATAAGGAAAGGCTGAGAGAGCTGGGACTGTTCAGCCTGGAGAAGGCACAGGGGGACCTCATCAGTATAGATGGATAGATAGATAGATAGATAGATAGACAGACAGACAGACAGACAGACAGATACCTCAAGGGAGGTTGCAAAGAGAACAGAGCCAGGCTGAAACTCAGTGACAGGTCCAGGGACAATGGGAACAAACTGAAGCACAGAAAGTTCCCTCTGAACATCAGGAAACACTTTTTCACTGTGAGGGTGACTGAGCACTGGCACAGGCTGCCCAGAGAGATTCTGAAGTCTCCATATTCAAAAGATATGATGGAGGAGATATTCAAAAGCTGTCTGGGTATGGTCCTGGGCAAGTGGCTTTAGGTGACCCTGCCTGAGCAGGGGAGTTCGACCAGATGACCCCCAAAGGTCCCTTCCAACCACACAGTGATTCTGTGACTCTGTGATTCAGCTTCTGTGATTTTCTGTTAGTTTTATGACTAGAGGGGTAAACCACTCTAGTTTTAAGGTTTGCTAACTCTGCAAGGCTAAGGTGGCTAATGGAATAATCTCAATTCTGCTCTGTTAAAGCTGTTACCAAAATTCCACCAAGTTAGCCAAGCAGGGCCAACACCATTCCAGTTGTGTTAGCCTAACAGCATGACAGTGGAAACTGTAGGGTGACACGATACTTGAGAAAGCGTAATTTGTCCAGCAGCATAGTGATTCATGTTAGTGATGCCCTCAGGAAAAAAAAAACAGAAACAACAAAACAGCCCTTCTCTTTAATACAGAAAAAAAAGAAAAAAAGAACAACATAGGTTCCAGAGGCTTATCTTGCTTTCTCAGTCTTTCTTATTTCTAAGCTAGAGTACCTGATACCTTGAGTCACTTGAGACAAACATTGATCTGAATTAAAACACACTTTAAAAAACATTGATCAGATTAGAGTTTCATTTTAAATAGTTTACTGGTGACAAAAACATCAGCTCATTATATTGCTTTTTGATCATGTTTGAAATGCAGATTCATGCATGGGTGGGTATCTGAAAAAACACATTGTAGCATAGGCAGTAACCCACCGCTTGTTCTCATGTCGTGCATACTCAGGGGTGTTGGTTTACCTTGAGTTCCTCAGAATCAATGAAGCCACTGTGGTCACTGTCATATTTTCTCCATGTCTGCAATAAGAATGTGAATGTTTTAGTGACATATTTATGGCAAGTGGGACTTGGATGATTTCACAAAAGGCAACTTTTCATGCTGTACCTGCATGAAGTCTTCACTTGACTTTAGTTGCTGGCACCTGAAGAACAACAGGAAATTCTCTTCTGTTGGTAATATCTGAGCAAGCTGTAACAGAATTTAAGAAAGATTCAATTTGGATTCTTCATTAAGCCAGCTCAGCCTTTAAAAGGGTATGAAATCCTTTGTGATCATAGTGCCCTATTGTGGCCCTATAGGAAGCTTCATCCTGTTAGCTGAAATATTTGGAAGATGCCTCTGAAAGGCTCCTGACCTCACAGCTTTTCGGTACTCATCAAGGCCAAGCAGAACTGAGATGTGAGAGAAGGGAGACAGCACTTTACTGAAGGGGTAGCTGGGGAAAGGGGGGGGGAAGTTCACCCATGCATAGTTAGGATCTGTGGTGAAAACCTTGGAATTGGCACAAGGGGAAAGCATGAAGTGAGGATAAGTGTGAAGGACCATGAATTAAGAAAGTGAGGAAAATAAACTATTCCCAGATCCTGAGGAAGAGGAGAGAGGAGAGAGGAAGACTGACATGAAAAACATATGTGTAAGATAAACAGAAAAATATATGGGAAAGCCTGGAGAAAAATCAAAAGTAGGGAGGGTATGGGATGGCAACCAGTGATCATTTGTCAGGCACAGAGATATATTGAAGAAGAACTATAAATACCAGAAAGAAATCAAAAAGGCTTTTAGCTCTGCAAAATCATGGGTGGTTCTTCCAACGCCTCTACTCTACAAAAGGCTTTTTTAAAATCAGACATTATTGTACTGATTATTGAAAATGTTCATTTACTATAACTCAATTTTGGCAAGTGGCAAATGTAGAAGATGGAGAGTATGCTGTATAATTTAATGTAGAATCATGATTTGTTTTTAACAAAAGCCCAATATTTTTTTCTGTCCTCGCAATGTATGAAATGTGTTTTGATTAAAGAAAAATTTTTATTGGAAGAATAGGCCAGCTGTGCTTACTAGGAAGAGAAAATGGAGACAGATTTCTTAGCTGCATTCTTTTATGAAAAATGACATCTTCAGATTTCCTGAAGCCTCATCTTAAATTTTTTTTTTTTCTTCATTCGTTCCACACCCTCAAATCCCTTGCTCTATTTCAGTGCTACTGCCTAATTGCTCAGGCTTTTTTATGGGCTTTTATGGTGCCATAGGTGACTTCAGCTCTCCCTCTCACTCTACAGGCACAACAAGGAACAGAGACAGATCTCTAGTTTCTCTAATATTATCTGTGCAAGGTATCAGTTATATTCTTTCAGTGTTGGGATGACTGAAGAGACACATCAGAGCACTCTCCTTACAGAAACAGTGCAGCTAATGACAGGCTGTCGGGCCCATCGGAGCTTTTGGTGTATGGCTGAACACTAAACCCAATCACATTAAATGATGCATTTTTGTCAGAAGCTTTCAAAACCTACTCCATTATAAATAGCATAGAGACGTGTGGGTAAATACATGTTCATATATATATATAATAGCTAAATGTGTGTAACTTAATACTGATTTATGGAAAAATTTCTTCATTTTTCCCATGACAAGGTAGCTTTGATTCTTAGAGTAAATCAACATTGCTACTCAACAACAAATGTTGAATGTAAGAACTGATTATAATAATAAGCAGAGTTTGAGGGAAAGGACTGATTATGCCAATGAGAAAGGCTCTACTTGTGTGAAAATTATAAATAAGATGTTGTTAATGGGTCATGTACAGTTAACTCTGGTGAATTTTGCAAGGGTATGGTAAAATAGTACAAGGTGCAAGAGTAAATGTAAAATACTAACTTTCCAAACAATCATTAACAGCTTCCTAGCAGCACCAAAGTGAATTTGAGGTACAGAATATATTACCCCTGGAAGAAAATTATCTTATTTTAAGTTATACCTCTCATCCTTTGTAACTCTCAGGAGAAAGCACAGGCTTTTACATTACAGAGAAGTAGTAGCTCAGTATCCAGTATTAGCTCAGGCTTCTGTCAAAAAAAGAAGTAGTCTTTCGTGCTTTCATTCTTTTTTACCCTTTAGTGTACTAGAAAGAATGTAGCTAAAGGGAACTCCAGTTCTCCAAGCTCATGAATCAGATAGATAGCATTAAATTGCTTTTTATGGAAAACACTGCATTGCTGAAGGATGCAGAGATTGTGTGGAAACTGGCTCAGCGTCCCAGTCCCAGTCATACCACTACAGAGGGGAAAGATGGGAACCTGGTGCTGTTTCTAATGAAGACTTCTTTGTGCGGATAAGTGTAGGGGAACTATGTGAGCATGTTTGAATAAGAGTGCAGACCACTATGAGTTTACGGATGGCAGCAATTGCAGTTTAGTGAGTGTTTCTGTGAGGTCTGCTGCTTTTAAGGAGAATGTTGCCTATTTCTGCGTGAGTAACAGCGGACAGCCACAAAGCCTGAGACTGGCCTGACTCCTTTCTGATCAGCCACAGGCCGAGGTACGTCTTTAAAGGTTACCTAGCAGAAAAGATACTCGCAGTACTTAAAACAATATCAGAACTATTTTCTAGAAATCATTCTCTGAGTAAATTCTGTTGATATTTAATGCTATTTAAAATTCCTTTCACCTAATACAGTGAATTTGCTTTTTAAAATCCTATAATAGAGAATGGAAGTACAAAGGCTATTTTAGGCTAATAAGTAGTTATTTTTAAAGCAGCAGTAAGCTTCAAATGATTTGAATGTGGAATTACTGCAGTTCTGAATTTCGAAACTTGGGTTTTCACATCCACATTTTACCAGAAGTGTTAGTCTGAGTACAAAAGGTGAAAGAAAGGTCCCTTACACAATGACAGGCAAGTGGGCAGGCAGGTCCAGGCTCTGCCTTTAGCTGGAGGACACTGGATAAAGGTAGTGAACTCACTGCAGTGTGCTTCCAGCGACAGAATTGAAACTTAATCTGAGCTGAAAATCCAGTCCTTCCTCTGTGAAGCCATCCAGGCCTCCTCTTTATCTCAGCCAACAGACCTTTCCTGAAAACTCACTAGGACATTTTCCATCAGATGCTAGGGTATTCATGATAGTGGCTGGGAGTAAGGATAGCTTCATATAATGGTTTTTAAACAACATTCATACAACTTTTCAGAAAAACTATCTGAGGTACTATGTAAATGGGAGCACTCTGGAATTACTGAGCATTTTTATTTATAAGGAGAATCAACTCCAAATACCAACTTTAATATCATACTGCTCTGCACGTATAACACATTTCATCTGAGTCCCATCAGCACTTTCCAAATCAAGCTTCATGCTGATGTGAGTGAAATAAAATACAGCTATTGGGTTAGGAAACTGCTATATTAAGGGAGAAAGTCCCTTCAGTCACTGAATGAGTACTGTCACTATTTAATGGCTTCCGTGGATGCTGAGCATGCCTGGCACTTCACTGGGGGTGGTGTGCACTGCACCCCATCAGGCCCTATCAGATTTGCTTACCTCTACCTATTAAGTCAATAGTAGAATCAGAAATAGAATTTGAAGGATAAAACTTCCAGTTATATTTCCTAAGTGAAGAAACACGGTCTTTTGCAGGCACCGTCTGCACATTCTTCTTGCATCCAATGCTTGCTGTTACACATATTCAAAAATACTAAATTAAATAGGATTCTTCAATACCAAATGAATAACCATTTGTTAGTGTAAAACCAAACAATTCGTTAGTCCATATGAACAGTGGTTATTTTTAGATGCAGAACTATTTGATCAATGCTAAGTTTTGCTAGAAGATTAATTTTTTAAAAATCAGTTATAGCTTCAAGTGAAATAAACTGTTCGTATTTCAACAGTAGTTTAGGCGTGATTACATATGCATTTAAACAAGCATATTCAATTCAGACACATGACAGAGGAAAAAAGACACCCTGAAATAATCTACTATATCAGCAGCGATACTTTCTATTGACTTTTACAGATTCTATTCAGTCCTCTATTTTAAAATTAGCTACTGACCCAAAGTTGGTCACTGTAGAAATTTTGCAGACCTGGCTTGTTTCCAGCTGTTTCTTAATTAGCTCTCTAGGTCAGAATTCTTATTATCAGTTAAAAAAAAAATATAATAGCATTTAATAATAAAACCGCAGCCTCACTGCACTCAGTGACATAAATGAGTCATAGTTTCAGGCTTGGAAAAGTGACTTCTCAAGCTGTAACCCAGCAAACTCTCCTTCTTGACTTGCAGCACTGAACAGTGAAAGTGAGAGAAAAGACAGCAGTTCCCCTCTTCCTGGCAAGTTGTCTAAATTATCCAATTGTTGAGCAGCTGTTTGTGCAGAAGGGGTTGGTCATCTTTGCCCTCTTTAGAAAGTGGCAATAAGGAATAGGGGAATTTTCTCCCTGAAGTTCTGTTAAAGTTTAAGAAAGGGATTCATGAGAAATCCTGATCTTTCACAATGTGGATCACAACTGCTATCAAAATTTTGTTTAAATTTAATGTGATCAACATGCTCTCATACCACATAGATTTTTTTAGAATAGACTGTATACAGTGATTGTCCAATTGCATTCACTTGTGTGTTACCCTCACTATAAGAGTGGTGACATAGCATTAGTTTAAAATCATAGGTCGAAATAAATCACAGTAACTTTCACAATTTAAATTTCTAAAACAGAGCTCTTACCTGCTTTGCAGGAAAACTAAACTACTGTTGATGCTTATTTGTACTGAATAAAGTGTGCAAAGTTAACTGATGTGTAGTGAAATATCTGAAGAAGGGTAAGGAGTACCTTGCGTATTTTTAATGAAAACACTTCATTAGCGAAAAAGTGCTAAAAAGCTTAAGACAGCAGAAGAAATTTTCTATGCAACAAAAAATCCAAAATATTTCCACATTGTTCTCATGTTGTTCTGTGCTAAATGTATTTTCTACAAATAAGCATGTCAGTCTTTTGTTATAAAGTAACTGTCTTACCTCAACTATTCCTATTTTTCCATCAGGAGTCTTCCCATATTGGTCCACAAAAGCTTTCATTTCAGGTGTTAAATCCTAAAAAGTTACAGTAAGAGAAACATTACTTTAAGATAGAGAGAAACACATGTAAACTTACTTGGCTATTCTATTAGTTACCAAATAATATATTACATTTAATGACGTATTCATACTTAACTGCAGCTAATTTTCTCAAGTTTAAATGAAATAGAGTATTTTTTTATCATGATCAATGTCATTGTCATACTTCCTAAGGAATTATGTTCCAGTCAGTGTGAATGATTGGCATCTAAATACTTAGAACTCCTATTTTAGTTTACAGAATGAAAAAAATATAAAGACAGATGTGTTGGAAGATGTGTATAACAGCTTTTTTGTTTAAAAGGATGACAGTGAAGTTCACAGGCAATTATTCGTCAATTTTCTCAGTTTCCATTTTTAAATTAGTAACTTGAAGGCAGTGCAAAATCTTTCAAAATCAGGAACACTTCAGTATAATACATCTGAACACCAAAATAGCCTTTCCACATCTTTGAGTGTTTGTATCCTGAACAATAGATGCTATTTTAGCCCTAAGATAAGTCATCACGATACCATATTTTCACTGTTTAGTATTTGGTTATCATAGAAACAGAGTCAAAATGTCACTGCTGAAATGTAGAGAGGCAGATTTTGGAGAGAGAAAACTTTGTGCAGCACCTTAAATCTGACAGAATAAAGCCACCATAATTGTTCTTCACATAAATTATGGTTCCTGCTACACATCTGTTCTCTGTCCTTGGTCTAGGCTATGGCAAAGGTGCCAGCCTTGGGTGAACTTCTAAATATTTCATTTGACACTTCAGCTTGCCTTGCCTTGCTTTGATATGAGCTGCCATCAACCTCCAATACTGATCAAGCTTTTGACTTTCTCTGTATTTCTTATAGGTGTAAGCTAGTAAAACCATGCAGCAAGAATCACGACTACAGTTATATTAAAGCAGTGGACAATTCTATGGTTATGGATGAAGATACAGCAGTCTTTGGAAATTAAAGGATTAGTTGATATAATAGATCTGATTATACAGGACCTAAGTGGTTCTATCACTAGATACACAGGGAATCTCAGCTGTACAAAGTCCATTGTAGTTTGTCCCAAATTTCAACTACCAAAGCTAACTAAAATGTCAGTTCCTTGTAGCTGATACAATCATGGCCTAGTATCCTATTTCTGTCAAAGTCATCCATGGCAGGTTAGTAATTTGCCATGGCTTTAATTAGAGATGTGGTTATTAATACAATGCACTTCAATGTCACCTTTCATCTAATGATCCCAAAGTGGGGACAAGTTTGCTTAGTAGATAGAACGAAGAATTCAGACACCTGGATTTTAATTAGTCCTGGTTAAATATTTTACTAACCCTTCTAATAGCAGCTCTGCAGTGCCAGATGCAGTGTCCACCCATTGAAAAGGGCACAGCCAAATACAGGATAAACAAAAGAGGATGGTCATCTTCTAGCACAGTATTCAGAAAGGGGTTTTTTTGGTGTGTGTGTTAATTTCATCTGCTCTTGAGCTGCTTGATGAGTTATTCAAGTTATGTTATTCAAATAAATGTTTTCAGTCAAAAAAACTTGCCTAAATTTAACCAAGTCTACTCCTAGACTTTATACAGATGCAGTGCTCGATATTTGAAATTAAGAAACTAGCCCTTCACACCCCTTAAAAGACACTTATCCAATCAAATGGAGCTGTAGAAAAAAAAAGCTTTTTTTCAATATGATTTGAAAATGTAAGGATAGATGACACTACAGAAACACATACGTGACTGAATCCATAAACATCTATTAAATCACATATTTCTGCACAGAACAATTGTCATCATCTATATGTACAGAGAAAGTGAGAAAGAGATGTGGAATATCTCAGCCAAGATCCATCTATTGACCCTTTATCAACCCCTATGTTAGTCACATATAGCCTGCAGTTTCTTTTAGCAATTGTCATGTGTAAATAGAGAACATATTGCATAAATGTAGGGCACAATAGATGGCAGCTATCCTCATATACTTTTATAGCTTTTATCTTTAAAAAAGAGGCAGTTCTTTCAACATGTATAGAAGTACAGCAGATCAATTCACTATCTACCATAATGCATGAAGCAAAAACACATAGTATTACCAAAGAAAAGCCCAAGCTCTAAAACCTCCAAGTAGACATCCACCCTCTGGGGCTAGCACAAATCAGGCTGCATGCTATTGCTCTGTCTGAGAAAAAGCAGCTCTGAAAGTATGGGCTTACTGAGTGGATTAATAAAAGGATTAGCCTTAGAACATAATTAGAACAGTTCTGTAGTTGGGAGGAATATTGGGAAATGTTAAACCATCCTATTCGATGACAGAATCAATGTGATTCTTTAATGCATGTGGCATGACTGATGTAAAATACAGCTATGAAGAATGCATAATTGAATATTTCAAAAATAGTGAGCAGAAGAGTGACCTGAAATGCAGAAGTTAATGATGACAAAGAAGCTTTGGGGTGTTAAAAGAAGGACAGCTGAGGAAATGACATATAACCTACACTAGTTTCTCAATGTGTCCCTTCTGGCAAAAGAATAGAAATTCAAAGCTTCTGAATTAGTATCCCGTGAGACAAGACACGAACTAATGAGATGCTTGTTTGGCAAATTAGCCTTCAAATGCAAGAATCAGCATAGATTTACGACCTAAGAGAACATATATCAATACTCTTCAGCCAACAGACCAAGTACTGCATTTGTTGTTTCTACTGTAGATTGATCTTTTCAGCAGAACACTCCAAAGATAGGTTTGAATCAGAGAAATGGGAAATGAAAACTTAATTAAGCACACAAACATTTTTCAAATATAGGGTGAGATACAGGCAGAGGTTTTTGGGTTTTTTTACAAAAAGCATAAACTATTAAAATGGTAGCAGATAAAAATAATCCTTCAAGGCTTTTCTGTGTTACATTGAGCAGGGTCTTTTTTAAAGAAGAGATGTTTTGAGACAGAAAATAATGTGATCTTAAAGTGACAAATATTTTTTTCCTTGAGCTTCTAATTATTTTTTTAACTGCTGAATAATATATCAGCATTTCTACTAAGAATGCCATTTGTACTAAATATACACAGGCTTGAATATCTTTCTAATGGACATACTTAAGTTTCCTGCACTTCAATATAGAAAATACATTTGTTCTGTTGCAATATTTGAAAGATATCGAAGTTGTATTTAAACTTTTATGTGAAAAAAATAGACGTTTTCCCTCTAAAACCCACATTCCTTTACTAATTTTTTGGGGGGAGTTTGGTTTTTTTAATTTTAGTTTAAACTTTATTACAATTATGAAAATGAATGCCTACACCAACAGCTCTAAGAATTAACTAGTACCTGGACTGCAGTGTCAATAGAGGCAATTTTCCACAAAAGAAACTAAATTAAAGTTTCTAAACTAAACTAAATTTTAAGTTAATTTTTTTTTGCCTTTACTTCTAAAATGACATCAACTTTTAAAGCAAAGTTGATTATTGAAAAGCTATTGCTCAACTTGGAAATATTCCTATATAAAGCATTAATCTATTTCCCCCATGCACACATGCCATCCTGTTAAATTATAGTTTTATTTTCTGTTACTTCAGAAGTCCTTTAGAATAGATTCATTTAAATTGGTTCCATTAGGTTATATATTGGAGTTTGATGCTAAGTGGCCTGCTTTAAAAACTAATTATTTTAAAGCCAGTTTACTTGTTCAAAAGGCTCACTTCTATTTTAATTCAAATCTTTACATGAAATCTTTAATTTCTTTCTCTCTCTCTTTCTTTCTCTCTTTCTCTCTCTCTCTCTTTCTTTCTCTGTTTCACCACATGGATATAGTTTGGAGGAAATTAATAATCAGTACTTTAATAACTCATACACAGAATTGTTTTGACAACATTGTCAAAAACTTTGCTGTCTGTCTGAACAATTTAAACTACCAGGATTTGGTACTCGTACTCCTGCTGTGTAACACTGGTGAAGGGCAGAAAGTGGTAGGCAGTCATCTGCAGATCTGTTTACTGACCACCAAGGGGCAGAAATGTATTTCAGCCCATACTGCCCATTAGGTATGAAATTAAAACACAGTCCAACTAACTTGAAGTGTTTTCTCATTTTCTTTTTCTTTTTCTTTTTTTTTTTTCCTTTTAGTATCAGTACATATCTGGATCAGGTAAAATTAATTGCAATGGGATAAGGTCCTATCCAAGACAAAAAAGCTAGCATGCATGCATTTCTTGACTTCTCTTTTTAAGCACTGTCAGAAGTACCAGCTCGTAGCCTGGCAAGATTTGAGCGGGACCAGCTCCCCAGGGAGGTGGGTCCTGGCCTCCCTTTCCAAAGCAGACGATTTATTTCATTGGCAACCGGCTGATTTCTAATCGAGCTACTTTCCTTTGCCTGGTGAGGCAACTGCATGACCCGTGTGATGGCAACCAAGAACAGACGGAAACGGGGCACTGGAGTTTGCTCAAGAAATCTCTTCTTTCCTGGAGAAGACGGAAAAGTGGGGCGAAACATTAACCTACCAAGCCTGCCTTCTTCCTTGCCTGCTGCAACTCCTGGATGAAGTTTTGTAGCTCCTTCCCATCCATGAACCCATTGCCTACAACAGAAAGAGTTACGGTTGCTGCCATCGCTCCCTCCAAACTCTCCACTCTTCACCGCTGGCAGGGATGTTTCCGACCCGCCTGCTCCCTCCCGGTGACGCGGCTCCCTGCGCGCCTCACCCGGCACCGACCCCAGTCCCTGACGGCTCCCGAGGCTGTGAGGCGGCGGAGAGGGGCCGGGGCCGGGGCTGCTTTCGGGTGAGGAGTGGTGGGGTCACC